TTTTTAAAAGCTTTCGATACGCGACCATGAATGCTGTACTCCAAATTAATGAACTGTGGTATCAGAGGCCACTCCTCAACTACCTAAAGTCATACCTTAGTAACAGAACTCAATATGTGTATGTAAATGATGCAAAACTCCTCCACCCAACCAATCACAGTAGGTGTCCACAAGGAAGCGTCCTTGGACCACTCCTCTTTCTCATCTACATTCAATGTCTCCCGAATGCATCACACCTACTCAAACCCATAATTATTTGTAGATGCACTACTTATGTATTTTCCCACCCAAACGGAGTCATACTGGCAAACACAGTCAATGCTGAATTACAGAAAATATCTGCCTGGATGATGACAAAACAAACTTACCTTGAACACTGATAAAAACCTATTTCATTCAGTTTGGAAACAAAGCTGCAAATGACCCAATTAACATTACGCTAAATGGATCATCAGTCACAAGACTCACAGAGGGAAAATTCCCAGGTATCCACTTGACAGTAGCCTTAAGTTCCGGACACACATACAACAAATCAAGAAAATCTCTAAGACTGTAGGCATACTATCAAAGATAAGGTACTATGTTCCACATCAGCTCTCCTGGCACTGTACCATTCATCATATACCCTTATCTCACATATGGAATTTGTGCATGGGGATCAACAACATTCAATCACCTAAAAGGCAACAGTAACAATGATAACAAATTCCCACTCCGCCAGCATACTCCACAATTTTCAAAAGTCTGAATCTGCTTACCATTAAGAACATCCATACTTATTCATGTGCCTACTACATACACAGAACAATACACAACAAATATAAACCTCCGCTCAAACTTCTCCTCACCAACCTAAACAGGACACATGACCACAACACAAGACACAGATCTCTTTTTTGATATACCTCGTGTTGCATATCACACTGTGTAAAAACTCTATGCACATAAAGGGCCCCAAAATATGGAATTCATTACCAGAAGATATTACCCTAGACTAAATGCTAAATACTCAGTACACATTTACTCACCTATGTACTCCCACATCATAACTTCAACAATCACTTTGAACCTTTTATCCATTACTGACAGGAATATAATTGAATCATTGTTTTCCACTAAAGCATTTTAGAATATAAATACGTATATCTTTATATTATACATATTTTGATTCATTTATAATTAATATTCTACTGTATAACTATGAAATAATTACTTTCCTACTGTACAACTATGATATACTACTCCTTAGTATTAAGTAGAATGTAAGCCAATAATGTTAAGTTGGTCCATAATGCCTAGGCATAATAGAGGCTCTCTTTGTATTGCAACCCACTATTGTATATACACAATCTCAATGTACAGTTTGCAAAGACATTTAATAAACTCAAACTCAAACAGTGGTGGCCGATGCTAACCTCCTTATGGTGTTTTAGAAATATACCTAGTTGGATTTAATGTTATTAAAGCCTCAACTGGCCCAGTAGTTAACGCATTGGCCTGTGAGTTTTAGCACTCACTTGGCACGGTTCAAACCCCAACCCGTTCCGTGGTTTACCAGATATACTGTTTACAAGAAACCAGGTCGGTTAGGTTAGGTAAGGGAAAGTTTGTCAGGAAAAGGACAAGTGTTTCCTGACGCGGGTCATCTGACCGAGGCCTTCCGCTGGCTTACCCGTCCATCCCTTTAAAAAATATGGTCATGATTATAACCATATATAGGGAACAGCAGCTAGTTATAAGAGAGTGTAGGTTGTACACAAATTTAAACCCGCACATAGAAGCGTATGACAACCTTTTGGTCGACCTGGACCGTAATTACGGGTTTATGCAGGTTGTGGCACTGGTAGGAAGCCCCGAGTTGGTACTCCAGTAGTTGCTACCCTGTTGTTTGTACATTATGTCTCTAGTAAACTATAACTCGGGCCTCCTACGAGTGAAATACCCTCTAATACCGTGGTTTAGTATGAGGTTAGGTTAGGTAAGGTTCGTCAGGAAACAGGACAAGTGTTTCCTGACGCGGATGGTGTGTGTGTGTGTGGGGCAGGTACCAGCCCAATGTAAAGAGAGTGGGACTGGAGTGGTGGCTGAGTGGAAGCATGTCAACGAGGACACACAAGATCGCAAGCAAACTGTCACAGCTGAACGAGTCTATGAAATTTCAGACATATTTCCGGTACTTGTGTGTGTGTGTGTGTGTGTGTGTGTGTGTGTTTGTATACTAACTTGTGTCTATGTGTTTGGTATTAACGACTTGTGTGTATTTGTTTGTATTACCGACTTGTGTGTTTTAACCAATTTTGTGGGTGTGTATGCTCTAATTCACTTGTATATTTTCTTAATTACTTTTGTGTGCGTGTGTATATACTAACCTACATACGTGTGTGTGTACTAACTGTGTGTGTGTGTGTGTTTGCTAATTTTGTGTCAGATGTTGAGGGCCAGACTCATCCTTAACCAGACACACTCATCATTCTCACCAGCACTTCGCCCTTCACCCACGGTATATACTCAGAAATTCACTTCCCTGTATTGGATTGATAAAGCCCCTGGTGGGCGACTCGTCTTCTCAATAAATGGCCCAATACTATAGTTGTATCTTAGAAGTGACTGAAAAAAAAAAGAATCTCGTTTGCAGCCTAACCTTGTACTCCCAAGTTGTGTGTACAGGGGTTGATACTCGGCTCCTGGCTCGCCTCTTAGACTTCCTTTACTGATAAATGAAACATTTGTGCAACATTTGGGTATCTTTTTTATAGAAACGTTTCGCCAGCCAGTGATTTCTTCAGTCCACCTTTCTCTACACTGGACTGAAGCCACTGGCTGGCGAAACGTTTCCAGAATAAAGACACCCAAATGTTGTACAAGTGTCTCATTTATCAACGTGTGGATTTTTTAAGCCATTTATTCACTACCTGACTGCCATCACTGATCTTCGGCCTCTTGGTACAAAACCTCGCATCAGGTTGCCTTCAGGGAGAATCGAACTCCCGACCTCTGGTTTACTAGACCAGCGCTCTACCCACTGAGCTATGAAGGCTTGAGTACACTCGTCTAATTGTGGTTGCAGAGGGTTGGGTTTCAGCTCCTGGCTCCTCTCCACTGGCTGGTACATGCTTCACTCTGGCTGCATGAACGTTATCATAAATATTCTTCAATTGAAGCTATGTATGGATCCCGCCTCTACCACTCTGCTGTCCAGGTCATTCCACTTCCTGACCATTCTAAGGTTGAAGGATTTCCTATGTGTGTGAACTCACCTATTTGTGGTTGCAGGCTCCTCAAGGAAGGTTCCTTGATGTTGGTGAGGGGCTCTTGATTTAGGGAATTGGATCTGTGCTCAGTTCCCCGAATTAAGCCTGAATGCCTTCCACATCCCCCCCCAGGCGCTGTATAATCCTCCGGGTTTAGCGCTTCCCCTTGATTATAATAATAATAATAATGTGGTTGCAGGGGTTATTTCACAGCTCCTGACCCAGCCTCTTCGCCGGTCGCTGCTAGGTCACTCTCTGCTCCAAGAACCTTATCTAACTTCATCTTAAAATTATGTATGGATCCTGCCTCCACTACATCATTTTCCACATAGTTCCACTTCCTGACAACTTTGACTAAAGAAATATTTCCTAACATAAACTGTGACTTAGACAGTAGGTTGGTAGACAGCAACCGCCCAAAGAGATACTACTGTCCTACCGAGTGTAAACCTGAAGCCTGTAATTGTTTTACATGATGGTAGGATTGCTGTTTTGTGTGTGTGTGTGTTTCATAAACATGCCACTTCGGTGGCAAAATCTAATCTCATAAACATGCAAGATTTCAGGTACGTGTTGCTACTTCTACTTACACTTAGGTCACACTACAAATGTTTTAACAAGCATGTATGTATACACACCCTTCTGGGTTTTCTTCTCTTTTTTTTACTAGTTAATCCCTTCTCCTGTATATATTACTAAATTTATAAAGAGAAACTTTCGTTTTTTTTGGGGGGGCCACCTTGCCTTCGGTGGGATACGGCCGGTGCGTTGAAAGAAAACTGTGACTCAGATCTGAGTTTTCAAATTCCAATTGTGACCCCTTGATCCTGAGTCCCATCTCTGAAATATTCTGGCCCTCTCCACCTTGTCAATTTCTCTTTGTATTTTATACGTCGTTATCATGTCTTCCCTATCCCCCAGTGTCGTCAGGTTGATTTCCCTTAACCTTTCCTAGTAGGGCATACATACCCCTTAGCTCCAGGACTAGTACTGTTGAAAACTTATGCGTTTTCTTTAATTTCTTAACGTGCTTGACCAGGTGTGGACTCTATACTGGTGCTGCATACTCCAGTATGGGCCTGACGTACAAAGTGTACAGTGTTGTGAATGACTCCTTACCTAGTGGTCGAAACACTATTCTTAGGTTCGCCAGGCGCCCATATGGTACAGCAGCTATTTGGTTGATGTGCTTTTCAGGGATGTGCTCGGTATGATGTTCACTGCAAGATCCTTTTCCCTTGGATGGGGTTTGCAGCCTTTGACCTAGGCTGTACTCCGTTTACGGTCTTTGACCTACCCCAATCTTCATTATTTTGCCCTTGGTGGGGTTAAACTCCAGGAGCCAGTTGCTGGATCAGGTTTGCAGCCTGTACAGATCCTTTTTGTAGTCCTGCCTGATCCTCGTCCACTTGATTCCTCCACATTAGCTTCACATCATCTGCAAACAGGGACAACTCTGACTCTATCCCTTCTATCATTCTCATATATCAGAAACAACACTGGCCCCTAGGACTGATCCTTTTGTGTTTGTGTGTACTCGCACGCGCGCGCGTGTGTGTATGTACTATTTGTTTGAGTATATATTCTAACTAGTAGTGTCATTCACACGGAAAGGTTAGGGTCTGGTTGCTATATGTTAATTGTTTTGCAGTACATCACATGAAATGTACTATACTAATTATGTTTCTGTTTTGTACCTCGGTAGTAGTAATAGTACTAATGGTAGTAGTAGCAGTACTAGTGGTAGTAGTAGCAGTACTAGTGATAGTAGTAGCAGTACTAGTGGTAGTAGTAGCAGGACTAGTGGTAGTAGTAGCAGTACTAGTGATAGTAGTAGCAGTACTAGTGGTAGTAGTAGCAGTACTAGTGGTAGTAGTAGCAGTACTAGTGATAGTAGTAGCAGTACTAGTGGTAGTAGCAATACTAGTGATAGTAGTAGCAGTACTAGTGGTAGTAGTAGCAGTACTAGTGGTAGTAGTAGCAGTACTAGTGATAGTAGTAGCAGTACTAGTGGTAGTAGTAGCAGTACTAGTGGTAGTAGTAGCAGTACTAGTGATAGTAGTAGCAGTACTAGTGGTAGTAGTAGCAGTACTAGTGGTAGTAGTAGCAGTACTAGTGATAGTAGTAGCAGTACTAGTGGTAGTAGTAGCGTACTAGTGGTAGTAGCAGCAGTACTAGTGATAGTAGTAGCAGTACTAGTGGTAGTAGTAGCAGTACTAGTGATAGTAGTAGCAGTACTAGTGGTAGTAGTAGCAGTACTGGTGATAGTAGTAGCAGTACTAGTGGTAGTAGCAATACTAGTGATAGTAGTAGCAGAACTAGTGGTAGTAGTAGCAGTACTAGTGGTAGTAGTAGCAGTACTAGTGATAGTAGCAGCAGTACTAGTGGTAGTAGTAGCAATACTAGTGGTAGTAGTAGCAGTACTAGTGGTAGTAGTAGCAGTACTAGTGGTAGTATTAGCAGTACTAATGATGTAGTAGCAGTATTAGGGGTTTGTAGTAGCAGTAATAGGGGTTTAGTAGTAGCAGTATAGTGATATTTAGCAGTACTAGTGGTAGTTAGTTGCAGTACTAGTGGTAGTAGTAGCAGTACTAGTGATAGTAGTAGCAGTAGTGGTAGTAGCAGTACTAGTGGTAGTAGTAGCAGTACTAGTGGTAGTAGTAGCAGTACTAGTGATAGTAGTAGCAGTACTAGTGGTAGTAGTAGCAGTACTAGTGATAGTAGTAGCAGTACTAGTGGTAGTAGTAGCAGTACTAGTGGTAGTAGTAGCAGTATTAGTGGTAGTAGTAGCAGTACTAGTGGTAGTAGTAGCAGTACTAGTGGTGTAGTAGCGTAAAAGTGGTAGTAGTAGCAGTACTAGTGATAGTAGTAGCAGTACTAGTCGTAGTAGTAGCAGTACTAGTGGTAGTAAGTACTAGTGGTAGTAGTAGCAGTACTAGTGGTAGTAGTAGCAGTACTAGTGGTAGTAGCAGTACTAGTGATAGTAGTAGCAGTACTAGTGGTAGTAGTAGCAGTACTAGTGTTAGTAGTAGCAGTACTAGTGGTAGTAGTAGCAGTACTAGTGATAGTAGTAGCAGTACTAGTGGTAGTAGTAGCAGTACTAGTGATAGTAGCAGTCTAGTGGTAGTATGCAGTACTGTGGTAGTAGTAGCAGTACTAGTGGTAGTAGTAGCAGTACTAGTGGTAGTAGTAGCAGTACTAGTGGTAGTAGTAGCAGTACTAGTGGTAGTAACAGTACTAGTGACAGTAGTAACAGTACTAGTGGTAGTAGTAGCAGTACTAGTGATAGTAGTAGCAGTACTAGTGGTAGTAGTAGCAGTACTAGTGATAGCAGTACTAGTGGTAGTAGTAGCAGTACTAGTGATAGTAGTAGCAGTACTAGTGGTAGTAGTAGCAGTACTAGCTGGGAGGCAGTTGAACAGTCTCGGGCCCCTGACACTTATTGTATGGTCTCTTAACGTGCTAGTGACATCCCTGCTTTTCATTGGGGGGATGGTGCATCGTCTGCCAAGTCTTTTGCTTTCGTAGTGAGTGATTTTCGTGTGCAAGTTCGGTACTAGTCCCTCTAGGATTTTCCAGGTGTATATAATCATGTATCTCTCCCTCCTGCGTTCCAGGGAATACAGGTTTAGAAACCTCAAGCGCTCCCAGTAATTGAGGTGTTTTATCTCCGTTATGCGCGCCGTTTAAAGTTCTCTGTACATTTTCTAGGTCGGCAATTTCACCTGCCCTTTAAAGGTGCTGTTAGGTGCGCAATATTCCAGCCTAGATAGAACAAGTGACCTGAAGAGTGTATCATGGGCTTGGCCTCCCTAGTTTTGAAGGTTCTCATTATCCATCCTGTCATTTTTCTAGCAGATGCGATTGATACATGTTATGGTCCTTGAAGGTTTAGATCCTCCCACATAATCACTCCCAGGTC